GGGCGGGACCGGGCCGCAGCTGTTTGCTATTAGCGTGGGGGGGGACCCCGCCTCCCCTCCCCCTGCACGGGGCGGGTCCTCCTCCCTCCTCCCCCCCCACCGTCCCCGCTCCCCCCAACTTCGGGGCGGGGAGAGGAGGGCTGGAAAACCCGTGACACACCCAGGCCCTTTGGGGAGACCCCCCTCACCCCGTTCCCTATCCCTGAGCCCCCTTCTCCCCTCTCCTGGAACAACCCCATCTTTCCTCCTCTGCAGCCCTACTTCTCGCTTCTTGCCCCTCGCCTGCTCCAACTTGCAGCTCAGAGGGCGCTGGGATGACAGGGAACCCCTGGGGATCCCTGCACCACCTCCCCCCTACTGTCTGTTCTGGAATGGGGGGGTTAAGGAGGGGGGGTGGGGCGCACTAGCCAGATCTGCCAGGTTTAGGTAGCCCTGGCTCTGTCAACTTCCCCAAGGACGAGAGTCACTGTCCCCCTTTTCTGTGTCTCCACCTGTAAATCGGGGTGCTCCCTGTATTTCCACCTCCTGGAAAGAGTGGTGACTAGCACCTGTCAGCCTAGCTCCTGGGGGGCTGCGAGCTGAAGACCACAGCTCAAAGCCAGTCAGGGCAGGAAAGTCTTTGCAACTCTTTATCTCCACCAAAAAGCCCAGGAATGGAGCTCTGACTCAAGCAGTGAAGTGCCATCCCTGATTGCAAAAAACTAAAGGACAGCACTCAGGCCGTGGGTTCAAGCCCCAGTCCTGGCACATTGCGAAAAGCTGTTATTATGATAGTTATATTCACCCTACTTCCAACACCCTGTCTCCCAGGCGATTCCCTTCCTGACCCCTGTCCCTGGGAAGTCTCTCGTTGGTCCCCAGAAAATATTTTAGGTCAGCTTCCTGTTACCCGAGGGGAGTGCGGCTCCAGGCAGACAGATGGGAAACCTAATTTCCTATCATCAGTCACCCTGCATTCCAGGTGTTGAAAGTCAGCAAAGCCAGGACAGAGACGTGACAGACAGGGAGAGAGACGTGCAGAGGGACGAGGAGACGCGGAGAGCCACAGACGTGTGAAGAGAGACTCAGCAAGACGGACGGACGGGAAAACCAGCTCAAGTTCAGCGGTTCCTGGAGCCCCAGCCTCGCCTTCATGCCCCGCAGGTGCCCCACCTGGCTGGTCTTCCCAGGTACCCAACTGCCCGCGAGCCAGGTCGGGAAACTGACCCCAGATGTCTGCAGCACGTTGACTGTAGGTCAGACGAGAGGAAGGACTGGCCAAGTTCAAGCAGGGTGTTGGGGACAAAAGGGTCCTGGACAGCATCCAGGGCCGAAGGGTGCTTAGTGAGAGGTCCTGATTGTCCCTCTTTTTTTTTTTTCACGGCCTCGCTGAGCCCCCTTTTACTTCCTGCTTCCCGCCCCCCCCACTTCCCGGGCCTCCACCCTGGCCCTGTTGAGCGCCCCCCACGCCGGACGCGTCCTGGGGGGGCAGGAAGTTGGTTCTGTGTAGCCGGGCAGTGAAACTGTTTATTTTTAGAGAAAATCGTTTTCCATAGTTGGGCGGGGGAAAAGCTTTCCCAACTTGCTGCCTCCCCCACCGGCCCGGCCTGACCCGGCCGTCTTGTTTTCTTGGGGGGTGAGGGGGGGTGTCACATAGCGCTCCCTCACGTCCCTGCTCCGTCTCCCTGTGTCCTCTGTGTGTCTGTCTCTTTTGATCTCTGCTGGAAGACCCCCCCTTCCCCACCGTACGGCTCACCCCCATCTTTCTCGGTGGCCTGGGCCGAGGAGAGGGGGAGCAGGATGGGTGGGGCTGCGGGCTTGGGGGCCCCCCGGGCCCGGGGCTGTGCGGAGGCTGGGCTGTGGGAACAGCTGGAGCCTGTCCAGGGGCTGGACAGATGTGTGCTCGGGCGGGGAGGTTGGGTTTTCTTTGTTCCAGGCCTGGCTGGGGCTGGGCGTGAGTCTAAGCCGGGGTTCTGGGTGGGGTTGTGTGGAGGGGGTGGGCACTCTCTCCCCCCCCACAAACACTGATACATTCTTCCTGACCACCCCCCCCCACTCCACACTGTCTCCCCAGGTCAGCTGCTGCCAGTGCTGCAGGCAGTCTGACTTGCAGTCCCCAGGACAGCTCCTGACCGGTGTCTGCAGACAAGAGGATGGCTCAGGTTCTGCACGTGCCAGCCCCCTTCCCAGGTTTGCACAGGCCAGGGATTGGGGGAAGTGGGGTCCTGCTATGGGGGTCTGAGGGAGGAGACACAGCCCTGCCGTGTGGGAGTCAGAGGGAGGAGGCACATCCGTCCTGTGTGCGGGTCTGAGGAAGGAGGCTCAGCCCTGCTGAGTGGGGGTCTGAGGGAGGAGGCCCAGCCCTGTCATTGGGTCTGAGGGAGGAGGCACAGAACTGTGGTATAAGAGTCTGAGGGAGGAGGCACAGCCCTGCCATGTGGGGTCTGAAAGAGGAGATGCATCCTGGACATGTGGGGGTCTAAGGGAGGAGGCCCAGCCCTGTCATGGGGTCTGAGGGAGGAGGCACAGCTGTCGTGGGCATCGGAGGGGGCTTGTGGGGGAGGAAATGGGACACCGTATCCAGGGGGGAGGCCTGAGGCTGGGGACCCCCGCCCTGGCTGGGCAGGGGAGGC